ACCCAAATATTCAGTCTAACCTCAAGAAAAGAAATACTATTTAATCCTTACTTCCCAATACACATGAACTGATTGTCTTAAGTTATTTCTTTATATAATTTCTTGTGTTTCAGTATTCAGTTGTTGATAGGTTGATCGGACTAATAATTGAGAAGTTCAACATGCTTAAAAGGTTTTCATTATCTGAATGATGCCAAACTAAGCAATTTTATAATTTGTCTGATATACAAATATATTTGGCAGTCTTAAAATTAAGCCAATCAATTTAATTCTTTTTTTCTTTTACATTTTTAAAAAAATTATTCTAAGAGAATTAGCGAAATATCGAGTCATGCTTTTTATACAAATTGTAAAATAAATAAATTAATTAAATAAAATATGTAAATTTTTTTAGTATTTTTTAAAATTTCTATTTGATATAAACTTAATCACAGTCCCATTCGTAAGTATACATTTGATTGTTTCAAGAAAAACTGCGGTGGTAAAATACTCCTATATCAACTGCAGAAAAGGCTGCATTAAAATTATCAAAGCTAAGTCATGCTAGAAAACAAAAAATAAATAGTTTAATGTTTCAACATACAGTAAAGAACCGTTTATTCATCGTTTAAGGGAGTCTACGTTTAAATGAATAGATGCATAAATGAAAATTAAGCAAATAGAAATTCAACGCAGAAATAATAATTTTGATAAAGTCATAGCATTGTTAATTAGACTCTTAAAATAATTGATATCGATGATATAGGTATTAGTAATTAAAATTTAAAACAAAGCATTTGTCACAAAATGAAAAATAAAATCACATCTTTAATCATCCCACACTTTTTTTCATCTTGAGTGCTACAATATTTTTAATACAGGACATTTAAGATTTTAAATAAAAATCGTAGAGGGAAACAAAAGCTTTTTAGAGCCTCACTGAAGCCAGTGGCGGATCCAGCGGGGGGTCATGACCCCCTCCCCCCAAAATTGAAAGAAAAAAAAAATTTTTTTAATAGTTTACAAAATAAATAAAATACTTTAAAAATTATTTAAGGGGGCATATACACCTTATAGGTCAGAAAAAATCGAATTTTTTTTTCCATCTAATTATGTTCTNCCCCAAAATTGAAAGAAAAAAAAAATTTTTTTAATAGTTTACAAAATAAATAAAATACTTTAAAAATTATTTAAGGGGGCATATACACCTTAGTAGGTCGGAAAAAAATCGAATTTTTTTTCCATCTAATTATGTTCTTCACTGTTTCAATAATCATAATCCAAAAGATTGAAACGAAATTCGTCATAGTTTCATTATAAACTTTAATAATGTTGAAGCGAGCGCTCCAACAGGTTTAACCAAAGATAGTATAAAGGTGAAGATGGGAAGCTTGCGAAACTCGTAACTAAAATCTGGCACCATGCTTGAATTATTAATACTTGAATTATTTATGTATTGTTCTATTGTTCATTATGAAAAAAATAAATGAGAAGACTAGCATTAAGAACCCCAGTTTAATTTTTTTTTTCAAAAAAAATATTTAAAAAAATTTTTTTACTAAAAATATTAATTGTTGGGGGGGGGGGTCTGAGTTTATGATTCCCCCCCGGTAAAATTTCTGCATCGGCCCCTGACTGAAGCATTCATTTAATTTCTTGAATTAATGAGAGGAAATTTTTTTTAAAACCAATAACCTGTAATTTATATATATATATTTTTTTCTTCCATTTTAAAAAAAAAAAAACTCTTTTAATACTTTCTAAATTAAGAATGAGCTGGTATTGAAACGTATAAACATGCTTTACTATATTCAGGCTGTATAAATACTTTGAACGAAAGAATGAGTTGATTGGATTCAAAAATTACTAGACGAACTCAGCATGCTTCAAATAGAAATGTGATGGAAGTAAATGTGCAAACAATTTTTATGTGAGGTAGTTAAATATTTCAGTAGATAAACTATGGTTATTTGCTTGATAATATTAAAAAGCGAAGCGGGTTTTCGACTTTTCCCGAGCCCTACGTAGAGCACGTCATATATTTTTTATAACCGTCGTTGAACAACAAATCCAATTTTGAATTTACGACTACCAAAGTTCAACTCCATAGCTTTTTAATTTTGAACCCAATCCAGAAGATTAGGGAAGTTCTGGATAAAATATTTCGAGGAATTTGTCTTCTTGGAGGACTTTTTGATGGAACTAACCCTTATTTGCGTTTCATGGTGAGAAAAACCACGAAAATCTCACACGGTTAACCTGACGGCAAGGGTACTCTAACCCATGATCTGTCAACCACTGAGGATATTTTAAGTCAGCATTGTAGTTGGTGCGAACCTGGTATGGAATTCGTATCGACCACCTACCGCTGGGAATGTTATTTATTTATTTATATATATATATATATATATATAACTANTAATAATAACTACTATATTTTTGGCGACAGCGAAATCTCTTAGAATATAATTCATACTTTTCTTGATAACTACTATTAGAATTATAAGACAAGTAAATTGTATGAATATTGGTTTTTTACTGTTCAAATACTTAATACTTCTGTATATAATTAAAGTGTTTAAATTTCGAATTCATATGTGAACAGTTTATTTTGTCTGCAATTGTTACATTTTACATTTATTTGCGATAAGTTGATCACAAAAATAATAGAGATGTCGAGCGAAAATATAGTGGAATCTAAAATTAAAAATTATCGAATCATTAAATTAAAATGGAATTATGTTATGACTGAAATTTATTTTTAACAATTTTTTGTTGTTTTGTTTTTTATTATTTGAGGACTGCATTTGTGAGTAAATTAAGAAGTTGATATTTTCTTAAATAAAGAAGAAAAAAAAGCGGTAGTGAAAGTAAAATAACGTAACTGAAATTTTTAAGGTAAATTAAAAATTTTTATAAATTTTAAAAGTTTAGGAAGATGTATTTTTATCGCAAATTTACTAAAAAAGATTTTTGCTAACCAATAAAATGATTACAGTTATATCCTTTTCGGCATATGTGTTTGAGTAAGTATAATATTTAAACTTAAGTATAAAGTGACGTTTTCATCAATACAATAACGTATTAATAAGATTAATTTCCTTTAATTTAAAAAACAATACATTTTACTAATTACTATTGCTGTAATAGGCTGTAAATTCTAATTCGCGGAAATAGCACATAATAAGAATACAATGAATGGGAATGAAAAGAAGCTGAAAACGAAAACGTGACTAAGGGCAAGAGGGCAATCGTTCTCAGCGCCATCTGTTGTAAGTAAAAAGTAATACGAGATTAGCACCGTCATTATTACAAAGCAAGAAATATATTAGTGATTTGAAATGTTTTTTATTATTTATAATAACAATTGTATGAAAAGTAGCAAATATACTCCTTGGGATATCTCTTTATATTATTTGTAACAAAGAAGGAAAAATAAAAATACTATCATATTATTTGCAATACTATTATATACAACACTATATGATAATTTTAAATAAAAAGACACCATTCACTAAAATCCTCCAAAAATATTTTTTAAGAGTAGGAGACTATTAAGGAAAATTTAGATGATTACATGTTTATTCCGTTTTATATTTTGTAGATCCGATACCATACTTTTTATCTAAATTAAAAATAATATTAAAATAGTGAGAAAAAGAGTAAAAGAATTATTATATCTGAAAATATGTAATTCCAGTTTAGATTAGCTGTTTTCCACCATAAAAAATTATTTTTCTAACAAAAAGTCTAAGCGGGGATTTTGTTGAGAAGTTTTTTAAATTAGCACTTCAAAGAGCTTAGCCTAAGAATCAAATAATAATATTTACAATCGAAAAATGTGTAAATATAGGTTCTTTTCTTCCCGTTATGTTAAAAGCAACTCTTAATTGATCGGTTCTAAGAAAAACATCGCATTGTAATAAATAAAAATTTTTAGCATTATGTACCTAAAATATTTATCAATTTTATATTCTCCTTGTGTATATCTTATTCAATTATTTTATTTTTATGCTTATTAATGGAAGGTAACAGATTCAGTAAAAATTAATTGGAATTTATGATGCTAATTATACAAAAAAAATCCTAATTATAGGAAATTATTAATTTTTTTCGCGAAGAATACAATTATTCATACTTTATAGACAATAATTTGCTCGAAACCTATTACCGAAAGAGGAGATGTCTAACATTTGCGACGAATAGGTTCACTTTCGATTTCCCATTTTCTTTTTCACTGCTCTTCTCTCAGCTACTCCATATACCGGTTTTACTACGTTTTTACGGCATAAAGCAGCATGGACGCTTTCGTCATTCCAATGTGGGTCTCACAATTGGATAAGAAATTAAGCTCCGCCCTTCAGTTTCCCGCCAACCTCAGCCTTTTTACAGTTCTTTCTTCCGCAATAATTAGTAAAGAATAATTTCTAATTAATTTCTTTTAGTAAAATCATAGAAATCTATATAAATCATTTAATATCGATTTTTTAATATATTTCAGTTAGAACATTCCGTAAATTCTTAGAAAGAATCAAAAGCCGATCCATGCTGTCATTGGCGGAAGGATACAAGAATGAGGATTGCAGCATGTTGCCGGCATTTCGCTAGCTCTGACACGACAGTAATACTCTTGTAGTCGGTAGTAGTGGAAGTGTAATGATCTTAGTCTCCTCAAGTCTGATGGTCATAACTCAATAAATTCTTCCTCTACTGGATATTATTGCAAGCTTTACAAAGCTTAAAAGTAAGTCTACTATAGTGTCTCATTTAATACTGTAGTTCAGCAACTTAAGATTTTACATATGGCTTACTAATAATCTTAGTTGCGCATAAAATATTATATTATATAAGAACACTTGTATGCTAGAATTTCACCAAGATATATTTCTTAAATATAAAAAAATATTTTGCGAACTTTTTCATTGTAAAATTGCTTGTTTAATTTATTGTTTAACAGCTATGAAAATTAGGTTGCGCTTTCAATTGCGTAACTTACAGCAAGTGTTAATTTTTTCCGCGAAATCCGCATTTGGTGAATGGAGAAAGCCACGTTTCAGTGGGGCGTTTCTTTCATGTGGCGATCTCTCTCCGCCGCCAAGCACTTGTCTTGGAATATTATTCTACGCGATATTTTCGCCAGGTGGGAGACTGTCGAAATACCATCTGAAATAATTGTGATCTGCGCAAGCCGGCCGGCATTTTTTTTCTTGTGGTTTTCGTTTTTTAGCCGGCGTTTTCTTCCATGCAACTTATTCAGGGTAAGGGAATTTTAATAAAGCAAATAAACTTGTTTATTGAAAAAAGTAGTATGTTATATTTTTCGGCGGTTTTGTCTCTTATTTTATTTATTGTTGAACTTTTAATTTTAAATAGAATTATTTTTTTTAAATTTTAATGAAAAAGATTAATACTCTCAAAATTCTATTATTGGTAATCTATTGGAATATTTATGATTTATTTCCTTTATTTAAATTAATAGTTCGTCCAGAAATTGCACTTTAATGACTTTGACTTCGCTTAACATGTTTTTTTAAATTTTGATTTGATGTAACAGTAATCTTAAGTCGCAGTTTGTAGTAATCTGATCTATTCATATTTTTACGTAATAGTAATTAGAGGCAGCGAATTAGTAAAATATTTTAGCTAGGTGGATCATATTAAATAGCACTTTTCCTTAAAATCTTTACAATTACAATTAATTAAATCTTTACAATTACAATTAAATCTTTACAATTACAATTAAATCTTTACAATTAAAATTAATTTAATCTTTGCAATTAATTAAATATTTACAATTAAAATTAATTTAATCTTTGCAATTAATTAAATCTTGACCATTACACAATTTATCTAAAATAGAATTTTAATTATGATTTCCAACTTTACAATTTGAATTTATTTTTTCTGTTGTTGACTATGATTATAAGATCTTAATGGGGATTTTTGTTTTCTTTAGATGATTTCCATAGACTCTATTGAAAGTCTTGATCGATGGGTCGAGAAGGCTGATGTATCGGATTATAAATGTTCCGCTTTAGAGGATCTTTCCACCTTCAGCTCCTTTAACCTCGACTTTCTCTTTGGATCTTCATCTGATAATTCAGATTCTGGTGATTTTTACCCTCCAATGGATCTGGATATTGATTTTAATGATATGGAATTGGAGAAGAATTCCTATGACTTCTCAAAATATTGCTCCAGCCCTGTGAAATCGGAGGTTTCAAAAGATCTCGGCAATCCTTACGGTTTTGCATCAGTCAGCCCTTCGAAATTGGGCATTCCATATATATTGGATGATTACTTCATTGATCTGAATAAATCCTTTTCCGATCAAGATTCTAATTCTCCAATTGCTGGCTCTCCAGTTGCTAATTCTCCTGTAACGAATTCTCCAATTGCTGAGAAGCAAAGTGCTCCGCTATCTCCAGATTCTGGATTTGAACAAGATTGTCTGAATTCATCTTTTGATGAGTATACTAATGTGTTCACTCTTATGGAGCAAGATAAAGATGTTGATGGTATGTGTGAACCTATAAAATTGAACACAGACACAGATATCGATAAATATCTTGACTATGTGATACACGCTAATAAAAACAGTGACACTGATGATGAAATCTACAATAAAGGTACTTTGGCTACCATCAGGTTATCTGATATTATAGACAGTGATTGCATGTTCAGAGATGGAAGTAATAAAGTTAATATAAAACCAGAAGGTTATCTAAATGGATTTCAACGAACTAGAAATGACTCTATTGCCAGTGATCATTGGTTAAATGAAACACTGCAATCGGTGAGTTTCCTTACATTTTTTACCTGTGTAGTTGTATCTTACCTGTCAAATATTATTTTATCTATTTAATGGGTTTGAACCAGTGTGAACCTATCATTAAATGTTAGTTTTTAAACACCTAAGAAGTTAAGAATAAAAAAAATTTCTGAGTCAACCTATTATAAGATATTCAATTTTTGATGAGCCTGATATTAATAGTGAATAGCTTTTTCACTCTCAGTATGAAGTATTGTGAGGCAGAATTACTGTCTTTGGGTCACATTCTACTCAGGTTTGTCAGTAATAACATTATCAAAAGTTTGTCAGTATAAACAAGTTAAAACAGTAATTTCCATTTATGAGTGCCAGTTTTCAGTCCTGGGTAACTACCTCAAATAATAATCAATAGACTAAATTCCACCATTGCCATTTGTTTTTTAATTAAATTATCTTTTTATTTTCATTAAAAAATGTAATGAAAGAATGCTGTCTGGAATTTTAATTATTTTGCTTTTGTCAGCCTTGCTAAATCTTATTCTTAACATCCTGACAAATGGGATTCATTGATCATATATAGTCATCTGCTTTCTTTAACAAAATTCGTACTATTGCTGAATCTAAATCTGTTTACTTGCGTTTGCTGTTTCCCTCTTACATATTGACATGCTGGCCTAAATTAAATCAAGATTTTTTGAGAGAAATGACACTAGGGAAAGAGTAATGGTGTGAGTGATAGAGAAATGAAGGGAAAAGTTAGTGGTTCAGGGATGGGTCTAAAAAGATAGGCAAGGTTTGTTATTATTTTTGTTTTGTTTGCTAAAAAAATAAAATAGAGAGAAAATATAAAAGTTTTTTTAAGAAAAAAAGAACCAATTTAATATGTAGGCTATTATCAAGAAAAAGTAAATTTGTCAGTGTATAAATTTCTGCAAATTCAAGTAAACAGTGCTAGCCAGTATTAATTGGACCGAAAATAAGTTCTGTCTTGGTCTATGGTTTTATGTGAGGCGATTATTTATTTTTGAAAACTGACTTGCTTTCACCTGTTTTAAAACAGAAGTTATCATTCATAGTTAGCAGGATTCTTTGCTCTTGCTGGTGCCTGGAAATATTTATTTGCATGAATTTCTAAATTAGATTTTGTGTTAAGTTGCAATAAATTTTACCTCCATTACTATTTTAAGTAAATATGTAGAACCTGATTATCGGGCTATGAATTTTATAAGTGCGGAAGAAATAAAAACTGACATTAAATGTTATTCTGTTTTTACTTAATATTGTCTTCAGTTAATACATCTAGATTTTTATTACATATTACTTTATAAGGTTCTTAACATAAAGTGAGGTATTTATGCCCACTTAATTGTAATTTAGGGAAGTTGTACCACATTAATTGTGTTGGAAAAAATGCTCGTGTCAATTACTATGAATGATGCCTTATTGGTAAGGAGTTGGTGGGAATGAGCTTCCCTTGTGTATATTTTTGCATAATTGGAATGTTAGGAATTAATGTAAAATAGTATGTACATGTCAAAAGCTCTATGATGCTTAGCACTATCAAATTCACGGAATGTTTGATATATTATGACAAAAATTTGAACTTGTGCAGCGGCAGTAAAATCGGTCATTCGTTGTTTGTGAAATACGAATGAGATATGTATAAAGTAACTCAAATTAACCTTTAAAAAAAACTTATTTTTTGTACATTATAATTTTCAGTTTTCGCATCATATTTTCTTTACATATGAATGTTTACTTAAAATTACAATGTTTAATTACAATAAGTATGTTTAATTATAAAATGAGGGGTGACTAATAGCTCCTTAATTTGAGGGCAAATGTATCAATCGTATCCAGAGCGAAGATCGTTAAATATTTTTAATTAGAAAATTTTCTGCGCATTTTAGAAATTTACGATAAGTATCTGAAAGTGTCAAACTTTTTCTTTATTTCTTCCAGAATTCATGTAAGCATTGCATTATCTTCAAAGTGTGATCAGTCCTAAAGCATTTCCAGTAGTCTCTAAGCTTATTTACAATATGAAATATCATTTGAGTTCATATCATATATATGTCCTTACTCTTGAAACAAATAATTTTTTAGTGAATATTAACTCACCAATTATAATGGGATTTTCTTGGCTGTTTCTTTTACTGAAATTTTAAAGTAAATCATCATTATAAAAGTGCAAATTTAACAGAAACAGATAAGTTTGAGATTTAATTAATTTTAATAATAAAAGAAATTTGTACAAATGACACTATAAATTATTAAGGGACTACATATAAAATTCATTGTTGGATTTTTTGTTGATTACTAGTTGGTTTTTACTAGTACTGATTTGATTATTACTTGGATTTTTTGGCTAAGATAAATCTTATCCAAATATCCCATCTTAAATATAATTGATGTACCTGACACTTGTCTTAATTTATAGCAAGCAGAATATAAATAAATATATACATTACTTGGAAGGGCTATATAGAACTTTCATTAATAAGTATATTTTATGTCGTATGTACACCAATGCCAAATAGTTTTTCGTCCAACTTGTATTATTAATTTCTAATACTACAGGGGTGGTAAAAAGCAATTCTAGTCTGTGTAAATTTACACCGGTGTATGGTGGATATTGAAATGTTAATAGAATGAATTTATGTTGCAATGCAAAGACAGTGTTATGTCACACATAATGAAATATGTTATTTTGTGACAAGACGGGACAAAAACATAAGTTAAAAACTTGAATAGTATGCCATTGTTTCACATCGATTGCTTATCTTGATTGCTTCATCATTTTCTGGTGTTCTCAAGCCAACAAACCACTGTTAAGTTAAAAGATTTTTAGATATATTTTTCTAAGAGTTCAGTTTATTCTGTTTGAATCTAATCTAGCCTTATGTCATTTAAAATTTTTAAGATGTTATGGAATTGGCTTTTTATCTCTAATTTTTTTTTAAAAAAATTTTTTAGATTCCAAATGATGAAGACTTCAGTGCATTGTGTGCAGGTCTAGTGCTACAGCCTGTGAAGAAAGAGGGCAAAAAGCTAAGCATTAAAGAGGAAGTCTGTGACGATAATCTATTTGTTTTGCGAAATGATTCCAAGACTATTCAAGTAGAACACAGCTACCATAAAAAACTTAGTAAGTTTTGTCGTTGAACATATCAGTATTATGAGTCTTTATTAAGATACACATACAGCTCACTTTATATACAAATACAATAGATATGGCAAATGTCTAAGATTTTTACTATAATTTCATACTCACCAGGTGCAAGTAAATACAATTTTTATTTTCTTAAGGTGACTGATCTTATAAAAATAAACTAATAACTAAATAAAATAGCGGAATTTACTTTAATCGCCAAGCATTTTGGAAAAGTACCATTCTACTCTTTAAATGAAGTTTCAGTTACGAAATAATCTTTTACATCTGCGTGGCTGTCAACTCCTGGTCTACTGGTTTTATTCAAATTTTCCTAGTTTTTGTATAATTTAGAAAATTCCCTAAAATTGTGTAAGTTTCCTTAAAAAATCCCTTTTGAAATAGAATTTTTGTACAAATTATTGCTTGTCTTACTAATACGTATTGAAGTGAACTTCATTTATAGAAAACAGTACAAAACTTTTTTTTGTTCTGAAATGTTCAGTTTATTTCTACTCAGAATTCCCTTTTTAAATTAATGGAGAAGAAATCTTATTATCTATCCTGAATTAAATGCCTATTAATATGCGAAATTATGAGTAAAAATAATGCGTTTAAAGCCTGTTTTATGTCAATCATAACTGAAAAATATTGCTGTTTTTCTATTACTATTAGAACATAAATTTTCTACAGCTGCGGGAAAGTATAGACAGTTAACTTAGAAGTGTGATTTTCATGTTTTAAATTAATCTTATTTGAGATATTTAAAATTTGATCTCTACTTCTAGGTGTTGTTGAAAGTGAGGAAGAGGATGAAGAACCAGTTAAGAAAAGAAAACGAAATGAGATTGATGAAGATTTCAGCCCGTACCAAAAACCAAAGCGTAGGGCTGGTCGACCTCGGACTAATTTCTCAAAAGTAGATACACCAAAAACGCAAAGGTATAAATTGCAAAAAACAAAATCTTCTAAAAGAACTTCACAAGCCTCTAAAAGACTTAAAAGTTGTTCCACAGTTCCTTTTGATAGACGAGAACAGCATAATCAAGCTGAACGTGAAAGGAGAGATATGCTAAAAAAGAATTTGGACATTGTCGAAGATGCAACACCAGACCACGTTCTTCAATTGACTCAGTTAGCTCTTCAGTCTGAAAAAACTAGTAAATCAGATGAATTTGAGAACAATGAAAATAATTTCACTGTTGATGTCCTTAAAAAACTTGATGAATTAGTAAAAAAAGAACCTGTATGTCATAGGCCTAAGTACAAAAAAGCATCTCGGAATTCTAAAATGGTTGTTCTTTTAGGTTCCACTTTTTATATTGGTAGTCTAGAAAAAGAACTTAAAGCAAAAGAAAGTCGCTTAGCTCAACTAAAAAAGCAATATGAAGAATGTTTAAAAAGGTTGAATCCATCTAAAGTTAGTAGTAAAAAAGTAAGAAGAAACTATTAATAGAACTTATTTATAAGATAAGTAGTAAATTTGTTCACATTTCCTGATCTTTAATCTTTCCAAATTATTCGTTTTATGTGCAAGCTTAATAAGTTTCTATTAGTTTCAGTAAAATATTTTATTTCAATTAATGTCAATTATATGATCTTCAAATGTTTGTACTTAATATTTTCCCATTCTGTAAATACTATTGAATATTTTGTATAATGGCTGTACATAGTACAAATTTGCATTTTTTTTTATCAATTATTCTAGGTCAACTAAAAAGTATTTATAATGTTTTGATTAAATGTAACTATAATTATGCTTGTTTTTTATGGAAATTTTTTTTTGTTTTAAATTACATTTAAAATCCTGTAATGGTTGCTTAATATTTACTCTTCTGTGAATCAAGTTATAATCATTCTGTATATTATGTAAATTACTTTCATGTTGTAAATTTTGCCATCTCATTTTTATATATTCAAGAGTTTTTAGTAATGATTAAATTTTTTATTACTTTACATTTGTATTTCCTCATTTTTTTTCAGAATTATTTTTTCAAGTTGTTAAAAAAATTAATAATTGCTGTTATTTATGCTAATGGTTTAATTGAAGTATCCAGCTTTTGAAGTTATAGTGGGTCTTAGTTGCATTACCTAAATTATGTTTTACTTTTTTAATAAGTCAAAATTGGTGTGTTTGAGCATTTTAATATTTTATTTGTTTTAGCTAATTAAGCTGATTTTTCTAAATGAAAGTTAATTTAACATTTAAATAAAATGGTATCTAAAGCATTGTATTTATTATTTTCATCATGCTAATAGTACAATTCTCTTTATCTTTCGTCACATTGCTAATTTCAGAATTTCCTACTTCCTTGGCATTAGTACTAGCTGTTTTATTTAAAACAGTTCATAATTCTGTTTTCATACAAATTTCCTTTAAATTATATTAGCTTTATTATCGAAGTAAACATCTGAGGAAGTAATCACGCTTCACGTTAATTCGCTTTGTAGTTTGTACCTAAGTCTCTATTTCGCTTGGCTGAGAATATCTAAAAAATTTCCAAGTGTTAAAAAGACTTTATTACAGTTAAATAAGAAAGAAAAAAAACTAAGAAAAATTCGTAGTAATTTTTTTAAAACTATATTTACATTTGAATGAAGTGTTTTCTGTCCTGAGCCAATTACATTCAATATACTTGGTTTTAGGTTGCCTAAGTTATAGGGAATTGCCAATAAAACTTCATTTATCACATATCCTCCTTTTTAGTTACCCAATACATTAACAGAATATTAAAAGCCACTCTTATTTGGTCATTTTAAAATAACGTAATTTTGATATGTTGTGAATAATTCATTTAAGTTGTATTAAACTTGCGCATTGAATTTAATTTTGGTTTAAGTGATGTAAAGTTAATATCCTGAATATGTTTCTGTTCAACTTAAATAAAACTAAAACACTTTCTTTTTACCGCTGTATTTCAGGATTACAGTGAAACCGCTAACGTATGAGTAGTCTTCTGAATTTATAAATGGTGCTGTGTGCAGAATAGCGTTGGACGTTTTCTATAGTATTTGAAGAGAAAAATGTAATTTTTTTTTTTTCAATTTCTTATTGAACGCAATCATTTAAATAATTTTTACTATAAATGTAGAAGATATTTACAAGTTAGTAAGTAATCTTCAGTGTTAAAAGCGGATTCACAAAATTATTACAAGTAGTTTATAAGAACCTGCCGTAAGAGAGCTTTGTCGGAAAGTATAAATTAAAAACTAAACTATTTTGCGAGATCTTTTATTCTACTTTCTATTATTAATTTAATACAAGAGAATATTGTTTCATGTAGCGGCGCCTCATTGGTTAAACTAACTACGCATTCCAATTTTGTTTTTTGTAAAATTGTTTTAATTTAGACGGAAAAGTTGCACTTTTTTTAGTTCTGGTATTTTCATTTAACGTTTCATATGTACCAAACGAAAGAAAAATATATACTGATTAGAAATTTTATAATTCAGATAATAGTTCATTTCTATTGGGGGGATTTGCATAATTTAAAACCAGTTCTCCAATTAGTTTTGTTTTCGAAATGTTAGATGCGCATTACGAAAAGTAATGTAAGCGACCGAGGCAGTAGCACTGGTTTTGTTATTCACACCAACATATTAGCATCCCGAATTTAAATGCACCTTATTCCTCATCTCTATTCTGAGACCTTGGTTACTGCCGCTACCTGTCCCTGAACTCCAAAAGCGGCCTTGGAATCGGTCGATCTTTTTCTCTTCTCGCCGAAAAACTTTCCGCAATATTTTTTCTCTTGTGCCTCCTCCGTCGCCAAGCGATATTGATGCGATGTCTGCGGATCGGATGGTAAATTTTTACTTGGTTATTTTTCCCCGCGCAAATGGCAGCAGACGGAAGGATTGCTTGATTGGCGAGTAAATTCCCTGCGATCGGCGGAAGTCGCCAGTGATCAAACAAGGAGCTGATGAAGGACTAGTGGCAAAAGAAGAGCAATGGGTAGCTTTCTTGGAAACCGCGGGAAAAATTCCTGCGCACGAGAATTGGCGGGAAAATCTGACCTTGATGTTGAGGATGGAGAGAAAAGGGAAGTATTCCGAGAATTTGAGAATGGGAGAGAAAACGGAGATAATTTCCTGTACACAGGTTGTTGAGGTGGTTACCGGCAGGAGTTATTCATACCTTTCACTAAGTTCAAAGGTTGGGTATTTCTTTTTTTTTTTTTTAAAGTGGTAGCTTTGAACTGGTATCGAAACCTTTGCGGAATAATAGATTATTTCCCAGCAAAAAATATTTATTTTTTTACCTAGACGAATCTACGCCGTGAGAAAATATTTTTAGATTTTCAAAGTTATCAGTTATTTCTCTTAATGGTTTTTAGATTTAAATTTTTTTTTATTTAATTCGTAGAATTTTATAAACAATTGGTTATTTATTATATATTTCATTCAACGTCGAAATTGTTGTAATTAAGAAAAAAAAATTTACGAAAAACTTCATTGTTCAAATTTTAAAACCAAACACAAAGCTATATTTTTTCCCCCTAATGTCTCTTAAGTATAACATTTGGAACATTGGACTCGCAGAGCATTAACCAGACCATCGCATGTAATAATTTTTAGTTAGCGTTTGTTTTTATTTTTAATATAAACCATATTAATCTTCAAGACAGGGTTAAAAAGGTTCGTTTTATTGTGGCCCGTTCTTAATGCTTCTTAAATTAGGGAGATTTCCGTATCGTGATCTGTGGCAGAATGAATGCCAAGTCTCGGTAACTTCCGGGCAGCGGACAGCTGGAAACTAAAGAAGAAAATATATCACAGAAAGGGACTAACTCTAAAGGTATAAGTCGTAGCCATCTCTGAGCAAACGTCAACATGTTTTTTTTTTTTTTTTTAATTTGACACCTTGTCGATTGTAGGTCGCTCAACAGATCACGATACGGAAATATCCCCCATAAATTCGCATTTTAAAAATATAAATAATTTAATGATATTAAGACTACTATTTTTTATATTAAGTATAAATTTTCACTTAGGCAAAGAATATTAAGTTCTTGGCGCGAATTGTTGAAAACTTGTCTATCTTTCTTTTTAGTATAATGCGAACTTCTATTTGTCATCTCGTTCTTTTTTGCAGTTATCGAACTCTTCTTATCTTTTACCATTGTTTTCAGCTGTAGTAAAGTGTATGCAAAATTTTAGCGCTCTTTTTTTTTTTCTGTCATCTGAATATTGGGAATAAATGCAGATAAAATATTTATTGATGGTTGCGATTATGTTTTTATAAAACATCCAGAATCTTTTTAAAATTTTATTTCATGCTTTCTTCCGATCATTTTAGCGGATACAGTTATCAAAAAATAGTGAATAAACGAATCAAAGCTTAGAAGTTGTAATGCGGCCTGGCTGAGGCTGGGATAATCACACAATTTAATTAAGTGTTTTGCTCGTAGTTATAAAAATTAGTTCCTTAGAATTGAGTTTTAACAAGAAAAATTCCTAGTTATTATTTCATTGTAAGCCGCGAAAAAGATAATAATGTAAAATTTTATCATTATTACATTGTACTAATATGCACTATTTCATCAAAAAATAAATAGAGTGATATATTTGTTGAAAATTCTCAAAAAATAGCAAACATCGGCAAAAAAAAATTTTGAAATAATAAAAAGCTGTGTCAATACCATTACATGGAACGATATAATCGATAGCAAATAATGCACATTCAACGTATTTTAAAAGTTTTGCGATATTTTTCCTCTAAAAACTAAAACGGTTATTTTAATTATTTGAAGCAAGTGACATATTGAATTTCACATTCTTAGTTTCGTCTAAAAAAATATTTAAATTTTTTTATATAAGTAATATTTTAATGTTGAACCAAAAATTTTATTTTTTGATGAATAATAGGCCCACTATCAAAGTTATTTAAATTATGTAACCTGATATTAGTTGTTCCAGGATATCCCTACAACCAAGAGACATAACCGGCTGATAAAACGGTCACGTTTTCTTCTCCACCCAAAAATTGAACCTTGAATCTCCGGAAGTGCTCCAACTGGTTCACTCTTCTTATTTCATTGCTTCCGGACTGTTATCTTGTACGGCAAGAAAAAACTCTAATTAAACTCATACTTTCCTTTTTAATCTAGTTTTTAGGAGCGAATTTCGTCTGCTTAACAGGATTGCTTAAGCTTCTTAAGAATGTAATAAGTAAACTGCTTAAATAATGAATTATCAGGTAATGATGCATCTTTCAATTAGATTTCTTCTCCGAAAAATTCATTTGCTGAATTGAGGGGAAAATATAGTCCCTTGCAGTCTGCAAAATTGAATATTTATCCAAATGTTGTTAGATATTTTATAATAATTTAATATGTAGGTAATATAAGGACTAATCTTCAGTTCAAGGAATGAAGATTAGCTTGATAAATTCGCGTCCTATAATTCGTCCTATAGATTCCTATAATTCGCGTTATCCTTAAATTAAAAAACTAAAAAGATTTTTAAATAATCTTTAACTGTTTTTTTTTTTTTTTACATCGTTATTAAATTACAATGATTTATCAGTATGACTTCATCGTCTAAAAATTTTCATTTTGGCGACTTTTTTCTGTATTAGTTATTGACTAAAAACAAATGAAATATCTCAAAATTTAAATTTACTCTACTGTATGGGTTGTTATAATGGATAGTGATTTTTCTTTCTACTGTTGCGACGACAAATATTTATGGATTGATAGCCTTATAACCTCGAAGTTCGCTTTAAAAAAATTGCAGGATAAAGAATACCACATTTCATACTAAGCGTATGAATCATGCAATCCGCTATCTATATTTATTTTTTTACATTGTCAACTAAATTAAAGCACTTTTCAGAAATATAAATACTGTCAACTATATACTAGACGTTGCAAAAAGTTCATACACTCTTAAGTCATCGTCATAACACATTTTTCTTTTTCTCTTTATATAGGCATTTCAATAATCAAGAAATA